TTCATAGTATTCCTCAGTTAGAACGCAGGCCTTGTAATCCTGGGGTCTCGGGTTCGATTCCCGGCGGTGCCCGAATTTATAACTTGTGTTGGGCAAGGCCGTGATCTAGGCAACACGGCGTTTTCCTCCGGGGGCTTCCCCGGTTTCTCCGTGGCATCCCAACAATTACTCCATTCACACACAGAAGAAGGCAATGGCAAACCACTTCTGGATCATCTGCCAAGAACGTATATGAACAGATCCCAGTCCGAGAAAAGGATGGAAGGACCCTGTTCATATGGACCTGTCGTCAGACAGAACAAACAAACAAAGAAGTGTACTTATTATCTGGCATCCTTGTGACTGACTCGGGCTTAACTCTGCGAACTGACCTTTTCCCCAGTTCTCTTCGAAGTCATTGTACTCATCCAGAGAGACGATGACGCCATCTTTCAGTCCCATAAACGTGTAGGCGACGTGCAACCTTTTGTTAGACCAGAGCCTCAGCCTATTGTATTCTGTTTATTAATCAATAATCGTTGTTTAATTCGACGTAATATAATCTGAGTTATTGACAGCGTCGTTAAATAAGCAGAAAAAAGTCTTTCTTCCTCTGCCATTGTGTTTAATTGCTTTGAAATGGCTAGATGTCTTTCACTTCAGCCGACATCAGATGTGCTAGTCTGATGAACTGTGATTCTGCATGCCCGAAGTATGGAGCAGACAGTAGTGTTACACAAGATACTGTCATATGTTTTTGACAAATGACTTCTCCCTTGAAACAGTGATATATAATGGCCTCTTACTCACTCCTTGGTAGAGAGCCACGAAATCTGTCGGTCCAGACGCAGTGGTGACAAGCGGTCCATACCAGTGATTCCGAGATTCGGCTGGTAGTAAACACCGTCTGAGCATTTGGCTGATGAATTTTTCAGTTATCCGAACTTTGTTACAACTGTGTGGAGACAATGTAAATTTATAGCTGTTTGTTCATTTATGTTGCCAAGGCAAAACCTTAAACGCCTCCATTTACGTATACTCACGTGTAAACGTGATGAAAGAAATCTTTGTGACAGGTTCGCCACTTATCTACAGTTTTATTTTCATCACTTCTTTTCCTCGACCATAACAGCTTATCCCCGAAAGCCAAAGCTGTACATACTTAATCATTCGTTATGTTTTCAGACGGGGCAATGAAGGATTAAATGTTTTTATCTGATTATAAGCAAGACAAAAATAAATATCAAATGACCTTAATTATACGACAACTATTCGGCACACCTGGGCTGATATTGTCGTGACCTTGAATTGACCTAGACATAACCGGGACTTCAACTTGAAATAAGTATGGTTATTCACAGACATGCAGTTCAGGAGAAATAAGCATTACAAGATATGAATTACTACTACTACAACTACTGTCAAACCCTGTTGGACTGGGACCTGTTCATATACGTTCTTGGCAGATGATCCAGAAGTGGTTTGCCATTGCCTTCTTCTGTGTGTGAATGGAGTAATTGTTGGGATGCCACGAAGGAAAACTCCGTGTTGCCTAGACCACGGCCTTCCCCAACACAAGTTATAAAGTCGGAGTTATAAATTCGGGCACCGCGAATCGATCCCCAGACCCCAGGATTACAAAGCCGGCGTTGTAACCGCTAGACCACCGTGTAAGGTCTACTTAACTTAACATAAACTAACTCAGCATGACCAAAGCGTACCGAGAATTTAATTTGCTTTTAATTTCATCATGAATATCATTTTGATGTCTGTCTATCATGATTCAGTGAGCACCCAGATTTTACGTTTTTCACAGTCTGTAAAATGATTACTTTGTCTGTGTGTTAATTAAAGGCCGAAGTATGAATTGGGACGGAGCTGGGTCGAAAGAAAGTGAAAGCTGACAGAATTTTCTCACTTACAATTTGAACAGGTTTGTTAACGACTACCCACCTATTAAGTATCTGCGCGAACTCAACACTTTATAATGACTCAATATAGCTGTTCCTTCACCTTATGTGGGCTCTGTCCTTATTTCGGCAAGAGAGACAACAAATTTTATATCGGAGTTTAGTGGCTATTGGTTTGTGTAATGAAAGTCCATTTGCAAAAGATCTGAAAGATGTTCTTCTCTGACGGTGTCGTTATCATTAAATTTTGCAGATCAAAAGGAAATTAGTATGCTATGGAAATAATCATGTTATGTTCGAAAAATATTGTGTTGTATTTTATTTTGGATTTAAGTGGATTAGGGTAGAGTCCATTGCCTAGCTTTTGTGAACACGGTGCGGAATTTACGGGTTACATAAATGAAGAATAGTCTTGATAAGCTGATTAATTAAGTAGCCTTCTCTTAAATAAAAAAAGAATAATTTTTATTCTGTGAGTTAGGAATGTGTCGATTTTATGAATTTTAATCCACCTTGCAAGCTCAGTTCAAGACATTGCGTTGCGAAATATTTTTTATTCATTAGCAACAAATTTTCTGTTTGTTGATACATAATGGGCCTGAAAATCGTAACATAAAAACCTGCGTTGAATGCAACACCTCATAAGTTGTCAGAAATATTATTATATGTTAATAACATTTACAAAGAAAATCAAAATCAAAACACAAAGTGTGTACCGTGCATTTAGTTCACATGCCCGTATTATTTAAAATGTGTTCTGTAATTGTTAAATATAATATGCAAACGAGAGGACATATTGAACGTCAGATGTACCCTCACTATTACACGTCCATTTTTAGGGATTTTGTGGAAAGAAAGAAGCAGTATGAAAATACAAGTGAATTCTGTTGTCCCAGCGTTCTTGTTAAGGTTAGTAGTTGTTTCCAGAACAGCAAAGACACCATCCACTTTGTCGCAAGGTGGAGTAGGAAAGGTTGCATCCCGCCAAGTGCTTATTTCCGGAGCAGCTCCAGCACCAAGGGACTGGAACTAACTCTCTTTGGCTTGCCCAAGTCATTAACCGACGGCTAATTTTTCTTGGGAGGGAAGGCCCACTGTCTCCTACTAAGAGAATATAGTCACATAATCGAAACGATGGGCGTGGCACTTCGTTACGTCAGCCGTGGTTGAATAATTTGGCAGTGAGATTTGTAGCGTCTCTGTCGGCAGTAATGTATGTGTAATTTTCATTACGTTTTTCCCAGGAACTTTTCAGGCATTATCTATAAATTTTGCAGACATGCATATCTATTATGTCTCACCACATAGGCATTTTTTGAAAATTACATAGGCAAGAAATCTTTTTTTGCATACGTATATCAATTTGCAATCTTCGAAAAACACTTGTAGTTTTTTATGTATTGTCCAACCGTACAGGAAGGACGCCTAATTTAGATTTTTAAAAAAAAAATCTTACAGAAAAAGGAAACAAATAGTACATCAATGAAATAAAGCGAAATGTGCAAAACATTACTTTCCCCGAAATTAGGCACCCATACGTTCATAATTTTAGGAGGTTCAGTTATTTAAAATAAATTAATATTTATTGATCATCTTTGACTTTATAACTACTTATCTTTTGTTGTCACACAAAATGCCCAGTCGATACATCGTAAGCAATCTTGTCGTTCGTGGTCATAGAGAATAACCCCGCGCAAAATAAGGATTCTGTATCTGCATCGTTATCATCGATTTCCTCACCCTAGCCATCGCCCTTGTCAGAATCACCGAGATCCATTTCCTCTGCGTCAGATTCTGATGAAAATTCTGCCTATTTCTGAGCCATTGTCTTGCGACGACGGACTGGTCTCTTTAATGGCACGTGTTTCCGCGATTTGTTTGTCTTTGCGCTGAGTTTGAATTTGGGCTCCTTTCTCTGCGATCTCTTTCATTTTTCTGT